GTAATTATCAAACAATTAATAATATAATTTTTTATAATAAAATATTAAAAAAACCAAATCCACAATATTTCACAGCTGTCCCAATCACAACCATGGTATACATTCTAAAAGCAAAACTCCTACTGTCTGCCTCAATTATTAAGGGCTTCCTTCGCACTTGAATCCAGCCTTGTTCACATACAAACACTACTACAGGATACAAACACTTGACAAAATCTACCTAACGCGGCGCAGAATCGAGCCTTTACCCAACATTAGCAGGAAAATACATCTAGTTTGCAAGCTCCAAGTCATCAGCTTGCTGTCTTTCCATTTCTTCCGTACGTTTCAACTGTTTAGTCTCTGCATCCTTGCCCCATAGAACCGCATAAAGTCCAGCAACGATCATAACGGACCCAACAAGACTGAATCAATATTATTCCATATATGATTAACATCTTTGCTCATTTCAACTCAATCAAGCTAGCTATAGAGCTATTAATATAGTTGAACAAATCATGTATATGTCTACTTACGTTCCCACGAAGAATTTTTCATGTAACAATGCCCAACTTAGGATTGCCGCAATAACGAGCAACAACGGGCTGAATACTGAGACAAAAAGAGGTCCTTTCTTTTTTATGCTCCATATGGTGAGGCAAGACGCTAATGCGTTACACACAATCCCCTGATATTACATGCTAAATCATTTAAGATGACAATCATTTTTAAAATAGAGTTTGCTTGGAAGTAAAGCATACCGTGTACAAGGCTGCAACGAGCTTAATATCAGACCTCAGAGACCATTCTGATATTTTATGCTCAGAAATGAATCCAATGACAGTACACTCGATGCTTGCCATGAAACACATCACTGAAGTTGTTGTGTATGGCGCTGGGAACTTTTTCTCTAGCCGTTCCTGAAATCATGAATGATCAAAGGACTGACCAATATTATTGAAAGGAATTGAGCATTTTAAAGTTAAGTACTAACCTGGATTATGAGCCAAATAGCCCATGCAACACAACTGACTATGACTAGGAATGTACCAAGTAAGCTTGTCCCATTACCAGAACTTGAAGCAGCCATATTCTCGGCATATATCCAATGAATGCTGGATTCAGTTATGTCAATGGTGTGTCCATGGTAAAATGATACCAACATCGAGCCACCAACACATGCTATCGTCCCTATCACCTTTGCCTTCCCTGCTGCAGTCTTTATTCCGACGTCTTCTAGTCTAGTTAAACCGAATAATAAAAATTATACCAAATCAATTCATAAAGCGTTAGTCTAGTAGTAAAGGACAGACTTAATTAGTTGTTAAAAAAATCTATTATGCGCACTTGCAAAGGGCTGCAATGACAAAAGTCATTGCAGGGAGGACATTTTTCAATGCAGACGCAATAGTTGCAGTTGAATCTTTCAGTCCAAGAAAGTAGAACACCTGGTTTGCGGTTGCCCTGCATGTAATTAATATTAATTCCACTGTATATTTTTCAGCATCTAGACTAATATTTTGAAGGTAATAAAACAAAATCCCTAAAGTCGAAATTCGAAATAGAACTTACCCTGTAATAGAACACAAGAATAACTGGAATAGAATAGGCATTGTGATTGTGGGTCTTGTCTTCCTGCCCAGGTAGCCAGAAAGAGAATTAGAAACCTGTTTTGAGGTGAGAAAACAGAGTTTTCCCCACAGAAATTTAGTTTTGTTTGGTGTTCATGATTCTTTCTCCATTTTTTGCTGGGAAAGAAAAACGAATCTAATTTACATAGCATTTTAGAAAAACACTTCTTCGAAAGTAATGAAACAGATTCAAACAAAAGAAACCAAAAAAGAAGGAGAAAAAAGTGTAATTTCTAGTAACAGAGTTATCCCTGCTCCCAAGTTATAGGTCTCAGTAGTTCTGAAACACGGAACAGGGGAGGGAATGGGAAATTATATTAGTATACTGTTAGAATCGGATGTACCATAAATATTAAGAGAAAGAAAGGAAGAAAGTTGTTTTCTTGAATAGAAACTTACCGTTCAAAGAAAAAAGCAAAAGGGGTGATGACAATGCTGGAAAAGATTTGGCCGTAGGCGTCGAGGACGAGAGGTTTCATGCCGGATTCCATGGCAAGTTTGGAGGTGATGTTCATTCCAGCGTAGCATACTTGCACCAGAAGCATGGCCAAGTATGGCATGAAATCCCCCAACATTGCTTCTTTAATCTCTTTTTTTTTTTTTTTTTTTGAGCTGTGAGAAAGGAAAAGAAAGGGGAGGAAAGATGAAAGAGGGGTGAAATGAAGAGGCGAAATGAGGAGCAAAATACAGCAGACAATACTTTAGATGGGAGGAAAGATGAAAGAGGGTGTGAGTGACGAGCGAAAAATACGGAGCGAGATAAGGAAGCTCATTCTGCTTCGTTGTTTTTTTTTTTGGTAGTAACTCATTCTGCTCGTTAATGTGAGTCAGATGCGAATAAAAACTGCCCATCGACAAATTGTACTCTGCTAAATGAAATGTGGACCAGGTTGCGGGTCTGATTGGAAATGGGAATATAAACCACCTACTGCAAATTGCACTGCTAAATGGAAGCATACATCTTTTTATTTTATTAAATTTGAAATTTTTAATCCCTCATTTTATATTATAAAATTTTTAATCTTTAAATTTAAATGATCAAAGATTTTAGCTCTTAGATTAATGAAATTCATTAATTTTTCATTAAAGTGTAAATAAAATATTTATAAAATCAATTCTCAATGATTAAATATATATCAATTTAGTTCTAAAAGTTTAAAAATTAAAAAGATTAGTAAATTAATTAATAGATGACTTTCTTCCATACACTAAAATAGTATTAGATATTTATAATCAAATTAAACGATTAGCTTAATGTGAAAAAAGAATTATAATTGAAATTTAAGAAAATTTTTTAACTGAATTAAAAAAAAAATCTAAGAGAATAAAAGAATACAGTTAAAAAATTTCTTTTAATATCAGTTAGATTTTTTTCTTTAAATTGAACTAATCATTCAATTTGATTGTGGATATATAATACCGTTCTCATGTATGTGGTAGTCATCTATTAATTATTTTTTTTTTAATTTTTAAACTTTAAAAACTAAATTATTATATTTTTAACATTTAAGAACTGATATTGTAAATATTTTATTTTTATTTTAACAAAGTATTAAGTGATTCTTTTAGTTTAGAGGTTAAAATTTTTAATTTTTTAAATTTAAAAGTTAAAAACTTCATGAGATAAATTGTTAAAGACTTCAAATTTATTAAGGTAAGGGTATGGGGCTAAATTGTAGTTGTAAAAAAAAAAACCGAAAAAAAAAAAAGAGAGAAAAGGGAGGGAACCGAGCGTGTAAGTGACTCGAATTGTGACCCTGCTTGACAGCTCACCGTTCAGCATCGACCAAATGCAAACTCAAAATCCCATTTCAATGTTAATCATGTTAAAATCTCACATTCCTCTCTCCTCCTTACCTACCACACCTTGCTTAGGTTTGTTTTTATTCCAGCACCTTTCCATTATAATCATGTTAAAATCTTAATTCGATTCCTCTATTTTTGCGTGATCGATCTGAAACTTCAATGAAGTTTTTTTTTCACTTTTATTTCCTTTTTTTTTTCTTTTTTTGCCATCAATACAGTTTCTGTTTGTAAGGAATTTTATTTTCTTGGCTTCGAATTATAAGAAAGAATGAAGAAATAGATAAGCCCTTCAAGGAAGAAGAGGGGCACTATAGCATTGCCGAATGTGTAAATCTAAAGTCTGAAAATCTAAATTATTTGGACAAATACTGAATGAGCTATGAAGAACAAAAATATTCATAAATAAGTTTTTGGATGCATGTTTCTCAAAAAAGAAAGTTATGGATGCATGAAAATCCTTTAATAGCAATTTTTTAAGTACACAAAAGTAGAAAAAATCTCGAGAAAACTAGCATTTACAGGGCTCAAACCCACAACCTCAGTAATGGGGCTTCAGCTGCTATATCTTTAATTAATTGATTTGTTTTTTGAGCTCATTAACAATTTTTATTGTTCCAATTGACAATTTTTTTATAGTCCAAATAAAAAAGACATTAATTTTTTAATTTTACTATATTAATATCACAAAACTTATAAAATTAGTGCTAAAATGTCCTTACAAAAATTTTTCAAAATTCAAACTAGCTTTTTCTTTTTTAATAAGATGGCAATTAAGAAATATCTCTCCTTTTCCCTTGATCTCTCTTCACTTATTTTAAGGTTTAAATTTAAGTTTTTTAATTTGAAATCTTAAATTTTTAAGTATGTGAGACACTCATTCAGGGGCTAAAATTCAAACTAGCTTCTAATAAGAAAAGATGGCATGGGTTGAAATAGCAATAAGAAAAATGATTTTTGGTGCACCTTATGTGCAAAGTGAATTTATATACCTTTTCATCATTAATTTGTATGAAAAATTACAAAAGTATACTTTATTTTCAACACCAATACTATGCAGAGTGATTAAAATAAATGGTTGATAAAACTTAAGTTAACTCTTATTTTTCTATACAAATTAATTATAAAAAAAAAAGACATTAAATGTACTATTAACATATGTCTTAGATCCCTCTTAAAATTGTCTGAAAAATAATATTTAAAAAAATTAATTTACTTAAATACCCCAAAGGTTTTTGTACCAGGATGTCCTAGATAAAGAGATTGAGAAATTAAGTGAAAGAAAGAAAAAAAAAATGAAAGTGAAAGCGTTAAGGGGGGTTGTTGCAACACGTGTGCAATTGCATGGGACCAATGTAAGTAAAAGTGGTTTGTTTTCCTGAATAGATGATTACCGTTCCAAGAAAATAGTAAAAGGGGTGCTGGCAGAATGGTGGACAAGATTTGGCAGTAGGCGTCGGGGACGAGAGGCTTCATGCCGGATTCCATGGCAAGTTTGGAGTTTATGTACCTGCACCAGAACGATGGCCAAGAACGGCATGAAATCCCCAACATTGCTTCTTTAATTTTTTTTCTTTCTCTTCCTGACTTGGTTTGGACTTTGAGAAAGGAAAAGAAAGGGGAGGGAATGGCAATGAAACAGATTATGCGAAACGAAGAAGGCAATGACCCTTTTTATTTTTGGTAGTGGCGCAGAGCCGTGGAGTGTCTGGTATGGCCCATTCCCCTCCTAAACTTTTGAAATGTTATAAATTGATATTTTAATTTGAAAAATGTATTTTACAAGTCATTTTCCTAAAAAAATTTTCGGAGAATACATTAAAAAAATTTATTTTTTAATTGACATTTTTAAAAACTAATTGTTAAATCAAAAATTTTATTCATATAAATTATACACAACAAATTTTAAATTATTTTAATATATCTAACTACTGCATTGATTATAAGAAATTTAACACCGTTAAATATATGTCATTAAATAAAATTTTTTTAACCAAAGAGTTATAAGTGTTAAAGTAATATAAAAATTGATATTATGATCTATATAAATAAAATTTTTAATCAAATAATTAATTTTTTAAAGTATTATTTAGAAGGTAAGTTTTTAGACATATCCTTAAAAAAAAAAAATTGGGAGGAGGATCTGCCTTGCACTTTCCACTTTCAATTTTTGGATAAATTTATTTTGATCCTTTAACTCTTTCTCTTTTTAGCAATCCTTTACTTTTATTCTTATACCATTTTTGCTTTTAAATCTTTTATAATTAATTTTATTTTATTTTATTTTTTATTTCTTTATTCATTAGATAGTACTTTTATGAGGTTGAGAAAGATGAAAAATATGAGAAATAAAAAAAATAAAGATTAATTAAATGATAATTTATAAATTGTTATAGTGATTGTTTTTGGTTTTAATAATTGTTGTTTGAATTGTATTTTGATTTACTAATTTGACTTGTATTTTTAGTCATTTTTAAGTAAGAATTAAAAATATGAAAATATCATTAGAAAAATACTTATAATTAAGAGGTTATAATAGTAATTTCAATTCATTTGATAAAACATTGATATCTAGATTAAAAATTCACAATTTCGTATTATGACTTTAAATGCTTATGATTTACTGCATGGCCTCCATGTCCATGTCATCATCAAGAAGGAAGTATTTTCACATTAAGTGACAGAAAAAAAAAAAAAAAGTGCATGAAATTGATAAAAACGTTAAGACTTTAAGGGTTGTTTGTTGCAACACGCGCCACCCTGTGCAACTGCAAGTTGTCAAACACCGATTGCCAATGTAATCAAGGTGGGTTTCAGTTTCGCTCATGGCCCTCTTGTGCGCAGTAGAAGCTAGCTGGAAAAGAAAGAAAACATAAAGCAAGCAACCGAGATGAAAGGTTCCACATGGGACCCGCATTGATGGTCCATCCTACTACACGGCCTCCAAATGTCATCATCAAGAAGCAGAAGTACGTATTTCCACGTTAAGTTTGGTTCCTTGCCTTCCAGTTACGTTGCTCTCATGTCTCTGTAATCTCACTTGTTTATGTTCGTTGTAGTACCACTAACATTTACTTCTCATTAATCATGACACCTCTTTCATTGCTTAATAAGGTAAAATATTTGAAAATACTACATATATTGAGAGTTGGTTAAACTATAAGGAGGCTGATCATCGTTGTTCGTTCAATTCTCAAGAATTAATGGTCCTTGACTTATTAGAGAGCAGTGTCAGAAATTTTTATGTGTGGGCTGTCAACTCAATAGAATTATGCAATTCAAGGGGACTTTGATATTTTTATCTCATCTTATATGAATATTATTTTGGTGTGACATAAACATATAAGTGTAAAGTTTGAAATTAAAAAAAATCGCTTGATGAGAATCAAAAGATTATTGTTATAATGAATTAAATATTTTTTCATTTAAAGGACTCTAACTCTATAAAAAAATTAAGTTAGAAGGACATGACCTATAGTTGTTACTATGTACAAATGTTGAATATGAAGAGCAAGACATTAGTCTCAATTCTAATGATACTCGCTTTATTTATTTGTTAGATTTTACATGGTATTCTAAAACATGATGACTCTAAATTTCTAATCTTGAATGGTATATAGGTTATGAAATATGGAGATCCAAGTGAGCATTTATTAATTCAACATATTATATTTAATGATTTGAATTATTTGGTTGTTTAAAATTTAGTTTGTGTGATTAATTTTAACTATGTATATAATTACTGTAACAATAAAATTATTTATAAAATTTTTAAATAAATACTCATTATGCTTTAAAAAAATTATCATTAAATATTCATTGTGTTTCGAAAAAATTTCAATTAATACGCAATGAGCCTAAAATTCTCAAATAAATACCCAATAAACTTTAAAGATAATCAATACTTTAAAAATACAATTCAATTATAGGTTAGGGTCGCATTGTTAATAGCATATATAATCGAATAAGAAATAAATCTAAAATGTTATATTATATTTTTAAATAATAGTCTATCATATAAACCTCAATCAATATTAAGTAGGGTTGTATTCTCAATAGAATAGAAAATAAATCTAAAATACTAGAGCATCCCAAAACAATGTAAACTATTGAACAGTGAGGAAGATTTGTCATGTGTTTTATGTGGAAAAGGGATTGAAAGCTCAGATTACCTCTTGTTTTCATGTCCAGTGGCATGGAATGTGTGTTCCTCTTGTTATAATTGGTGGGGTATTACTGTGGTATTCCATGACAAGGAAGCTTGGGTGGTGATTTGATTTACAGTTGTATGGAATATTTAACCATGGAGAAATCAAAGGGTATTCAAGGCAAGCTCAAAACCCCAGTACAAGATTATTGAGGTGATTAAATACCAAACTTTCCAGTGGCTCAAAGCTAATTTGTACGTGGCCAGAAATTTCTAAGGACTTATGGTATGTAAATCCTATTCAAGCTTGTAAAATGGCACTGAGGGTGACATCTTAATTGGCCCAATAAAGATTTCACACAGGGTTGGAAACCACATGCAGCTGCAGGGTACAGAAGGTATAGTTACTGCTGTTGTATTATATTATGGAGTTGCTTTCCAATGACTATGTCAATTGCACTTACATTTATAATCTATTTATTTTATTATAAGTAAAAGTACTTCTTACACTCAATTTAATAATACTTTCTTTGTTAATAAAAAAAATCTAAAATATTAGGTTAAGGTCGTATAAACTTCAAATAATATTAGGCCATGGGTCCACAAATAAATTGCTAACCATAATACCATATAAACCTCAATTAATATTAGGTGAGGATCCTTAAAACCTCATAGGGTTGTATAAATCACAATTAATATTAGGGTGTGTGGGTTCTACAATCTTATTAATATACCAAATTGCTGTAACAACAAAAATTTTCATCAAAATCTCAAATAAATACTTAATAAGCTTTAAAAAAATTCTCAATAAATACCTAATGATTTTAAAAAAAATTCTACTATTAAATAATAGTTCAAATCTAACATATATTAAGTATTGTAGTATATCAAATCTATTAGATCTGATTTCTTATTAATTTCATTCACACTAAAATCTTAAATAAATAGCCAATAACCATCAATTACGCAGTCTAATTATATTAAAAATACTTTTTTATTAACTAAATATTACAATTTAATGGGTATCTTATTCATCAATAAATAATTGTATTTCTTTCCTTAGCCTAATTAATAGTTTTCCAATTGTATGCATTAGGGCTACAATTTTTTCCTATTTATATGGAGAGATGGACAAAAGGAAAAAAATAGAGAGGAGTAGCTGTGGAGAATAGGGTTAAAAAAACGAGACCCAAGACGAGGCTTTCTATGTAGCCAAAAATCTACGAGAAAAGCTAAAATTTTGTGAGATTAATTCAGAAGTTGAATAGAACCGTTCATTTTTTATACTGAAGCATGGAAGGACTTGAAGATAGCTTTTTATTTTGATTTTGATTTTGATTTTTTTTAATTTCTGGTTGAAATTTTATTGTAATGTTCTTAGGTAGAAGTGAAAAAAAAAATGGAATTTATCTGGTCGTGCAGAGCTATATGTGAAGGACATCAAGATTAGTCATTCACCTGATTTGATGAGCAACAAAAGGTGATGCCTGATACAGGTTCAAAATTGTACGTCAATTGGTGCTTGCGTTAAGTTGACATTTGTAGTTGGTTAGTGAGTAGCTCGTAGTTAGTTAAAATCAGGATTAGATAGTTAACTCAAGTGATTAGTTTTAGTTAATCTAACTGTTCTTTGTAATCAACTCTAAATATATAAGAGGACCGCCCTGTAATCTTTTTTTGTTGATTGATAAATAAAACAAGTAAACCTTTTTCTCTCTTCTCTGGTTCTTCTTCCTCTCTAGATTCTACTTCTTCTTCTCACCTGTTTCTCCTAATTCTGGTTATATTGAATTGTTATGTTAATGAATACCATAATTTTGTTTTATCCCTGTCATGTTGTTGGGCTACTGTTAACACCATGGATAATTTTCATCCCAGCCAACTCACGGAACCCTTGAATAAACTTGGGGAGTCAACCCTCCAGTTCTCGACAATTTCAATTAAAGTTTTGATCAAGACAACAGTTCTTATTATTGGTCTGAATAGGACTTTTTTTTTTTAATCTAGGAAATAGATATATTAAATATAAAAGAAGGATTACGCCTAAAATCTTTAATTCAGGCACTTTAAGAACCTGTTTGGTACAGTGATTAAAATTTAGCGGATAATGGATAGTAGGTAAAAGATAGTGGATAGCGATAGCATGTGACGGTTAATGGATAGTGGATGATGAATAACGAAAAGTGGGTAACGGATGATAAATAGTAGATTCGATAAATATAACTATTTAGCTATTGGCTATACAATAATTAGTGGTTGTTTTTTTTTGCACAGAATATTTAGCTATTGGCTATACAATAATTAGTGGTTGTTTTTTTTTGCACAGAATATTTAGCTATTGGCTATACAATAATTAGTGGTTGTTGTTTAACATTAAATGACTAATAAGGACACGTTTAAAAATAAATAAGTGTATTTTTTAAA